CTTTGATCGCCATCATTTTTGCCAATTTATGCCCATGGTTTCATATACTACAGACATTAATGAACATCTTGGTATATAACATTCATTGTTGCAATGACTGTCCAGGTTCATCATTTTCTAGGTCCTGATTGTCACCCTACCAATATACAAGCAGATATGCAGGACGCTCATGATGGTGGGTCCAACAAATTGTACTATGACTTGCTTTTTTGAGTATAGGCAATATCTTCCCTCAGGCCATGTTGACGTAGATGTGAGATACTGAACCAGAAGAAAAACATCACAATCTAGCTTTGGATGTTGAAATATTTTAAACTGTCGCTAAATGAAATAAGTAACATAAAACCATCTTTGACATGGATGTCATTACATTATTCTGTTCTATGTTACTTTTTTCTATTTCTGCAATTTATCTGAGTTCTTATTATTAAGGAAAGGGAGTTTTAATTGAAGCACAAATGAATGCAACCTTTCTTTTCCAGAAATCAAGTAGTAAAAGTATAATGCAAGAAAATAATCCAAGTCAATGACTTTGCCGTTCTGACATTCATGAGTAGAAAAAAACATGAGTTTCAGAATCGGGACTGCTTTCATACTAGTAAATATATACTAGTACCATGGCACCAATTGTGAAAATTCCTAGCACTTGCATTCATTCCATATAGATTTGTACAAGGATAGTTACATGGAAACATTAGAACATACGGATCCCCATTTGTCATAAATCAATTTACAGTTCTTTAATTTTTCACTTATCATAAATCAGTAAGGCCTTTGTATATTGCTCTGGGAATAAATCTTTGGATAGGTAAAGATGGAAAGATTTCTGCCAGTGGTTTATGAAAGTAGTAGTAGATCCATGAATATGAAAGAAAGAAATATTTCTAAATTAAAATATTTAGAGTCGCCCTTCGAGCCTGACTACCACGTAAAGGAACATGGTCATTGATTTCCAAAAGTACATGGTTGCCATAAAAAGTGTTACACAAATAACAAAAAGTGGCGAATTAAATTATGTTCCTTTACCTGTTAATGTAAACTAAGTATGGGAATTATCCCAACTTATTTATGTCTCAATATACGAATTTACACGTAAATGCATTCGCTGATACACACTTTCGAACACATAGTCCCTTATATCATTCCGGTATAAACAAACTATACACGCACGTGAGGTAAAGACCTAAGGCTGCATGTCCACGTAACGATCAGGTCTGTGTTTATCGCAATCAGAAAAACGTGCTATGTCTGATCCGGGCATACGAGACAGTTTTACTCAACAAGTTTGACCAATGAACCGTTTTGGAACTCTTTTCATTTCATTTTTACTTTACTTTCATTTGCGACATAAGCCATCACCTAATACATATGTACAGAGCTCTATAGCAATTAAATTAAATTAATAATTTGCATTATTAATATGTTATGTCATGTTTATTAAGTTGTTAACAAATACATGTACTAATACAATGTTTTCGTTTTTCAAGAGCATATTACATTGTATTATATATACATAGCTACATTTTTACAGCTGAGATATTATTAGTTGAAATAATGAATGTGCTAAATAGAATTTTTCAATACTTTGAACGTAAGCCTGATATAAGTAGCTCCTGAATTAACTTTTGCATCAAACAAAGATTTAAAATCAACAAATCAGACATAAGTCGTTATGGAGTAATTAACATTCTTATGGTTTTGACATTTTTCTTTAGACCAGAAATGTTTCTGGTTATGAATTGAATCCTGAATATATTTTAGTGTACTTCTAATATATGAGATTTGTTTGCTTGTGCATACTCTAAATTAATTCCTCCTGAACGCCTAAATATGCTTTAAGGTTATCCTTTTGTCTACTTTTTCTAAACAGTCTTAACTTTTTATACTTACATTTTTAGATGTTTACATTCATGGTCAAACCATTTAGATTAAAATAATTTTGAGTTTGCATGCGATTTTTAAAAGGCATACTTGATTTGAGAAAAATGTTTTGAAATGTCTCAAATACAGTATCAATTTTAACTGTGGTTTCTAAGCATTGACTTACAGTATCATAATGACCATTAAATACATTTTCTGTAACAATACTTAGGTACATTTTCGAATTCTGATTGCATAAAGAGACTTCACTGTGTTATTTTTGACATAGCATAACTAGTATTTTTTTTTAATTTAAATTCCATTTGACGAAGGTGTAGTACAATTACTAGTGTGTGATATTTCAGATCATTCACTTACTCAGTTTTTCCATGATGATTATTCTAATTTCGGAAATTACCAAAAATTGAAAAGGACTGCAACCCATTTAACTCAAATCTGTCTAAGAATCGCACAAAAAATCGATAGTCAATTTAATTTCGAGTACATTGAATATATCTAAATTATACTTTGCAGATTTTTCCATTTAGCGCTTCTTTTGATCTGTGTAAGAATTTCTAATTTCATGTTTTAAGCTAGTTTTTTTTTACCTCAGTGGAGCTCTTTTACGTCCAATTTGTAAACAAATTTCTTACATTTTTCATATCATATCCATTATAAATAACATAATTTTCAAACAACAATTACATAAAAACATAAAAACGCATTGGAAAAAAATACATGATTTGCCCATTTCTGAGTTGTGAGTTAAAAAGGGGCCCAATGAATATTTATAAAATAGATAAAGACTGGTTTACATGATCAAGTTGTTAGTTTTTGTAATTTTTTATCAGAAAACCTTATTCTTTGAGTCCCAAATAAAATAAGACCTTCTTCAATTTCTTAAACTATTGTTGAAAATCATTCTTATTTAGGGACACTGAAAATGGCACCTCGACAATTCACAAACGTTTACTACTTTCAAACAATGGCACCTGCGTATTTTTCATGAATAACGATTACGAAAGCTTCAGTGAAACAACTTTAGAAGAGATATGCAGGACAATGTTTTGTTTAAATCGAAAATTCTCTAAATTCCATATAGAGAAATACAGACAAATAGATTTACCTGCCTGATCTGGAACCTCAAGAAAAGATTTTACATGCCGGTATATTATAGACATTTACATCTTTACAATCTTTGACGGAACAATTATAGATAATTGGATTGATTCGTCCAGTTTAATTTTGTTTTATTTTTCACAATAATTTTTATCAAATAAAGTTTTCATTGTTGACGAAATGCTATCCAATTGTCCAATTGCAAACAAACTCTGCAAGCGTTGCTTTTTTCATGTAACCGATCAACGAGCAACGCATTCGAATGCAAAGAATATCTCAAATTGTAAAAACATGACCCGAACTTTGTCCGATAGCCGGGACGGATATATGAAAATCCACTATTATTCTTGTGCGCGAAATGTTGTCATCATGTCTTACACATTTATTCATAGTTGTATTTAATAACTTGTATAACTTAATAACTTGTTTCAAAAATAAAAAAATAAAGAAAACACACTAATGTTATTACTTTCGATGTACAAGTTTGACCTTGACATTTGAACTATGAAGCTTCTCCTTTTGCACGTTGTCAATATGTCCAACGCATTTATGCATAGTCATTTTGAAATTCATCCCGAATGAAAAAGTGTTTTACCTGGACACGACATTAATGCACTTTTATTAAAAATTCCTATCATGGCTTTTGAGGTGACATTTAAACTTGAGATCTAATTCTTCTTTTAACGCCACTTTGCCATTATGTACAACAAATTTATTAATGGTCATTATAAAATTCATCCTAGAATGGTATAGTTGTTTTCCGGAAACGACCGGAAGTGCACTTCTATGAAAATATCGCATCAAGCCTTTCGACATACAAGTGGACACCTGACTTTATAATTATAGATGTTATTGTTAACGACACTTTATCATTTTGTCAAAACATAGTTTTATAAAAGTCCACCTATTAAAAGACAGAATTCTTGATCAAACTCGCAAATCTATGCACTTTTATGTAAAAAAATCCTTTTGACCTTTGAGCTACAGCCTTGACTTTTGTGCGTGATAAATATTTCTCATGTGCTTCATATTTATGCATTTTTTAACAAAATCCATTTATTAATGACAAAGCTACTGAAGTTTACACTAAAGTGTAAAAGGACGCGAGGAAGTAAGGACTGGCTGACGAACTGACGGACGGAAGAACGGACGCTGCGACTACACGCCTTTCCCAATTTATTTATCTATTTTATAGTGTGGATAAATCTAATCTGACTTGATAATTGAAACTTGTAATCGAAGTAGTTTTATATAATAAGTTAAATACCTCTTTCTTGTTTTCATGTTTTGTAGCTACTATTATTAATTATTATAGTAATAATGATATGAAACAGAGGATGACATCTTAAAGGCAGTTCACTAGATCTTCCTGTTTTATGCACCGTTCCTCTTTAGTGTTCCGCCACTGCACGAGTGATTGTGTGTGACTGCCCATTGTTTTTTTCGTTTAGGGCACACGCATTCTTTTACTTGAGGACCGTACGCCGCTTTTCATGGAAAGTGTCACATTGAAGATTCCATGATAACCGCCGAATGAACACATTTGCGCATGTTTCTAAATTCAAGATTTCACCATTTTCATGATTCACTGTTGAATTCTGCTTAAGCCGATGCTAGGGGCGTGCACGGCAACTTGCACTTTTCCATTACCGACCATGATCAGACTCAATCAAACCGAGCCTGCAACATTTTCAATTTTTCTTGTTGGGCTTTCTTTAGGGATTCAATATTTTGATATTGTGGACATTGATGAGTGTCGTTCTCATACTTTGATGAATGTTTTTAAAAGAAGTTTCGATAGCTAAAATAGCATTAATTGATTTTTTTTAAAAATTAAGCCATAAATAAAGTTTAAATATAACATACTGCGAATTCACTTATAATCGTGGGAATTATTATATCGACCGGACAATATACAAAATTTGACAACAATATACTAGTTTCTTTTAATGAATGTACATTGTTATATGAAGAATACAAATTCAAGAAAATGTAAATACATGTTACTGACAATACACGCACATGGCAATTTTGATTAGGTACATAAGTGTTTACAATTGTTTTAGGTTTTTGAACATCTAGATGAATTAAAAATTAATTCAACATATGGAGATACACGTGTTCTTGACATAAATATCTAAATCGTTTCATAAAAGTACTAAAATATTCACAAAACGCCATTGATTTTAGAACATTGTTGGTGAATATGAAATTTCATATTTTGTTTAAATTAAAAAAAAAGAAATGTTATCACAAATTGAAAATAAAATCTAGAAAGATGAAGAAATAACGTATTTGCTTCAGAATATTAAAAATATAAATGTTTGAAATGCTTATTTTATCTCTTGAAAGGCAAAAATAAAGACATAATTCAAACTTGTGATGATTATTAATTAACATATTGAAATGTTTTCAAATAATTTAATGATTAGTTATTTAATTAATGCAATTCTTTATTTTACACATTAGTACTTAATGATGAAACATCTTTTTGATCAGTGTAAATAATTTGTATAATGCGCGTGTCTTTCATAAATTTGAAACGCGTCACTACAAATTACAAAATGAAATCGTCAATATTTTATTTCATCATTCTAATATTATTTTAAACACCAATGATTTAACCTAAGGAAGTATGGTACATTAATTTTAAACACTAGACGATAAGCACACAAGTCAATTATATTATTTAAAATTTAATAAAGATAAGAAATATATATTTTTACACTATATTACAAAATGATTTGAATACAAAAAAAAGAACATAAAAATATTTTGGTAAGTGATAATAATGTTAATAACTTACACTTCTTTCCTCTCATGAATGAAATATATATAAAAAAACTGAAAAAGGGTGTTCATTCGGAAGCTTGTTAATGCGTAAAATATATTAAGTAATATAATAAAAGAACTCCTTTATCATAGTTACAGTTTTTTTAAACGCAAAATATTAAATCTAACGGAAATATTTACAAAAGCAAATACAAAATTTTATTCAGCATAAAACATAGACATATGTTTAGAGTCAATAAAGATGTTCGGCAACAGAAGAAATGAAATTTTAAATAAGTTCTTAATTATATATTATAAAAAATTATCATAAATAGTCTAGATATACTCAATATTTTGTTACAAATACGTAAATAGAAAAAAAATCTAGTTATTAAGGAAAAATAGAATGTGTAAAAAGATCATGTTTAAGCATACAGAGTATATATGAATTATAAGATGCGTTTTTTCATTGCAAAATAAATATATTTTGCTAAATTCAGTAGAACAGATTTTGTTGATTATTAAACGATTTAACCAGCGATAAAAATATTGTTTAATAACTTTAATTCTTAAGTCACGATGAAATGGACATACTTGCAAAAATGGTGTTCTTTTTCAATGGTTTTCATATTGCACGATTTGCAGAGTCTCTATTCTCGTGGCGTATCGTTGTAATTATCTTTCAGATTTTATTTAACGATTATGTGATGAAATTCTAAATTTTGTAATATATTTCTGTATTTCTTATCAGTAATTTCTTTCAAATATTCTTTTTATTCGCATTTTAAACTTAAATACACAATTTTTACGGTATTAGAATGTAATGTATTAAGTAGATACTAATCATATAATACTTATACAAAACTTTGTTGTAATAAAAAACTTTTTTTTATTTCCTTTTATGTATTATGTACACTTGATAAACTTTTAATATGTGCTGCTACTTAACAAACATCCAAGATACACAGAAAAGATACACAGTACTGTAGAAAAGATCTATTTCTTTCGACGAATTTTCATTTCTATGGTTTTCATTGAAGTGTAATATCCTTTCCACCCCTTCCAGTTTGTACCCGTTCCGAAGACGTTAGAACCATACAGTCCGTTTAGGTTTGATTGATGACAGTTACTGTACCACCATGCACCATGATATTTAACTGCACAATTAGAACCCTTCTCGGTGTCGTAGTCTCGGTCATTTGTAGTAAACTTCATTCCATTTTGACTCTTCAGAGAGTCACCTGCAGTACCAGAGTATCCGCCAACATGCAGGATGTAACTGGAGTCAGAATCACCAATAGAAAACTGACTGTACTCTGCAAATGCCGATTCTCCTTGAAAGCTGGTTAGGTCAACTCGTAGCTGATATTTGTCTTGGCTTGTGATCTCATGTATAAAACGGTTCCCAAGATAAAAGTTATCTCTAAGGTTGCCAAAACCAGTTTCATATTCGTCCCATGTCTTATAAAAGTCGCTTATAGAAACCCTCCTTTGGATAACAGTCCACCCACCACCTGATGTGTTCATATCGCAACGTACTGAGATGCCTTTCTTATTGGAAATAGGGTATATAGTGTAAATGCCAGTTTTATTGTTACCTTCATTGTAAATATCTCCACAGTCAATGGGTTTCGGTTTATGTACATCTAGCATAAGAGAAGAAATATCTGCAATAATGTCTCCCTTTAACTCCACAAGATCTGCTTTTGTGGCAACGTCTGTTCTGTTTGAATCGCAGGTACACTTAAGACGGTTTGAAATGTTAGCAAATATTTTCTCTATGTATTCGTCTGTGTCAGATAATTTATCAAAATCTGACTCGCTACTTTCATCACTATGCATCTTTACCAGCGGAATATATATGTTATTTTCATGTTTGGCAGCAACATATCCTAATATAACATTTATGACAAGTAGCTTGCACATTTTAGTAGATTTCTCTTCAATCAAATGTTAATTGTATATGGATTTTTTTTGTAATCTCAAACTGTAAATCGAAGTTTACCTTATTAACAATCTGCGGCAAACGACTTGAAATTGCAAAATGCGAATGAATAACTCGAACATGGTATAAATACCTTCTCTACAATTTATAAACAAAGGAGAATCTGAATATATAAGGAGATCATATGAATGTAGACATTGATAGTGCGAAAAACAATATGAAATAGGCATATCTATAATCTTATCAGCAAACAATTGGATGATCTTGATAAAAACAGATACAGACAGAAAGAAATGTCAAACAAAATGGCTAAAATTATATAAAAATGTAGTACCAGGTTTGAAAGAAAATATAACATCTAAAGTAAACGTTGACTGTATGTAATTCAAACTATACAACAGGAAACAACAACAAAACTGAAGTTTGAAAATAGCCTTATATTTATTTGTCATTGTATCTCAATGCGTTTGGCATCGTAGTGATGTTGACAATTTTTGTTGTATTATACATATATTTTTCATAAATATAACTATAGAGTACTAAAATCCTCTTGAGTATACTTACTTTACCATTAATGAAAAACAGTCGATAAAAAGTTTTACACCTTTAGTATTATTTTTTACCCTGTAAGTATGTTAAAATCTTCAGGTATTTTTCTTTATTTTGAAGAAATGTGTGCAAGAATGAAAACAAATTGATTTTTCTTTTCACTTTAGACATAATAAACTTTACTTAAATAATTATGTTGATATGACTTTGATACAATGATGTACTATGTACAAATTACGTATATGTAAATGTCCCAAACAGAAATCTTAATGGTCAATAAATATACATAAAATTTGATCATTGCAATAATTACACTATCCGGCCATAAGTATTTCAAATATTGATAAAATTACACAATATATCATTTGGGTATTCTTATAAAATATTGCTGATTAAGTCTGCAAATTTGTATGATGAATGAAATATATTTTTAGAACAATTTATTGTCTGCTTTATAAATATATATGAAATATCGGATCCTGTAGCAACAACATCCATGTATATTTATTCGTTGTTTGTTGTCATGTGAGATATTAAACACTCACAAAGTTAATATATCTTGTATTAAAGACCTTCTATTATATACCAATTCACTCTTAGTTAATGCCTGTTTCATTATTTTTGTTGTTGTTTTCTAAATCGAAATATCAAATATCAGTTTAAGTTTAAGTAAAATAAAAGCAACTACAACCTTATCATTACTTTAGGAACTCCTAAACTCTAAAGTTCTGTATGGAAATTACACGACAAATACACCGATACTTCATTTATTTCAAGCTTTCTTAAAATGACGAAGTATTAAAAATTAACACATATCTGTAAATAATTTACAAAATACTCATAGAAACAAAAAGACAATATAATTTGTAACACTTAAGGTATGACCCACCTTATGCATTACCTACGGTGCTCCGTTTGGACAATCGTGACTTTTTTTATTTCGTTCTTACCCGCAATGCACGATGGTGAAAACGCGATGGTACGATGACACGATGATGAAAACACGATGGTGCGATGGTGAAAACACAATAGCACGATGGCGATAACGCGATGTTGAATCGCGTTTTCACCATCGTACCATCGCGTTTTCACCATTGTGTCATCGCTTTTTTGACCATCGTACAATCGCGTTTTCCCCATTGTGTCATCGCTTTTTCACCATCGTACCATCGCGATTTCACCATTGTACCATCTCGTTTTCATTATTGTGTCATCGTGTTTTCATCATAGTACCATCGCGTTATTTCCATCGTGCCATCGCGCTTTCATCATCTTGTCATCGCGTTTTCACCATCGTACCATCGCGGTTTCACCATCGTGCCATTGCGTTGTCACCATCGTACCATCGCATGTTCACTATCGTACCATCGCGATTTCACCATTGTACAATCTCGTTTTCATTATCGTGTCATCGTGTTTCATCATCGTACCATCGCGTTTTTCCATCGTGCCATCACGCTTTCATCATCTTCTCATCGCGTTTTCACCATCGTACCATCGCGGTTTCACCATCGTGCCATTGCGTTGTCACCATAGTACCATCGCATGTTCACTATCGTACCATCGCGTTTTCACCATCGTACTATCGCAATTTCAGCATCGTGCCATCGTTTTCCGGTGATCATGCCCTATGGTACAATGTTATCAACAATGTATGCCTTTTCATTATTTAACCCCGCACCATGTCTATTTGCAAATCTATGAGATCTTTGTATTTAAAACATGAAAAATTACAACATAATTAGAAACTTAAAGTTGTAATCCATGTGCAATGAACATATGAAGTTCAAGTTGATATTTTAATACAGCAAAAGAAAAAAGCAAACATATATTATGCATATATAAGCATATATTAAATAGTCTTTGATCTATAAACAGTATAATGACATAAATAGAAAGAGTTGAAACTCTTAGGGGATAATTTTGTTTCATAATACCATTTTTTACAAATATAATAAAATTACGATGATAATGATCTCAATATAAAGAAGAATTGAGTAATAATATAAACAACTGACAAGTGATGTACATTTATATACGTCTTACAATCTAATTATTTACAATGACATGTCTAATCCCATAGTTTAAAGCTAAAGGAAAAGAATCCCATAGTTTAAAGCTAAAGGAAATGGTGTTTTATTATTATACAAAAATATATATACAAACAAAACAATGTTATGTGAGTAATTATTATGTGTCAAAGTATAAATCAATGAAATATTTGTATAACAGTCTCGGAATGTACATGATCAAATAAGAGGTGAATACAATTTTAGTTATCTTAAAATTATTTTAACCGCTTTTCATAATTTCAAATATTCGCTCTTGTTTTCTGTATTAATGAGATGTTCAAGCTTGAATAACAATAACAATAACAACAACAACAACAACAACAACAACAACATATTTATTTGATAATCAGACCACCGGCCCGTAATATACAATGCAACATGAACAATCTTATACGTCCCCCGATTAAGATCATCTGATATACAAAGAATAGGTTGTATATAAATGAAGACATTACGTATTCACAACTTGAGTTCATTAATGAGTCAAAATCATTAAAATGTGTTGCTCGATAAGTATAGTTGGCGTACTTCATTATATTTATAGCAATGACAAAAGCATGAAACTCACAATCATTAAATGAGATATTTCTATTATTTAAACAATAGGTACAAAAGCCTTGTTCTCTTGGTATATTTAAATATCTGCCGACTTCTATTTTAAGTTTGTGGTTAGAACATCTAAACTTAGAAAAAGATTTTTTTATAAACGAATGGTAAATCCAACATTAAGTATTTTTCTAATTTGATAGTGATTTAAAATTTCTGTAATGAAAGCATCGACTGGATATGTCAATTTTGAGTGTAGCAATCAACCAGTCTCTGTTAAAACAAATGGATAAACAGGTCAGTATTACCTATTTCTTGCGAAATCCAGGCAGACCCAGAACCATACTCGAATAATAAATTTTTTATCTTAGTAGCTAAATTATATCTCCCACTTTCATCATGATTTTTTAACATAAGATAACATTGTCGTGGTTATCTTGCTTGTTGTATAGTCAATAACTTACGTCAATACTTTACACGGTCAGTCATATGAAATACAGTAAATTCCCTACTAATGACCACCCCCGAATTAAGACAACCAAGTTATTAAAACCATTTTTTATAAGAACGGAATATTCTGTTCCTTATGTCAATGGTTACATGATCCAGAATTAAGACAACCTCATTTATCAAATTTTAAGACCACCAAGTTCAGTCTCAACTCTTTGTTTTATTCTTTATTTGACCCCATTATTGAGACCACTGATTTAAAGTCAACACCTAGCTAGATCTTAAATTTGTAGTTATGTTGTTATTATCTGCTTGGATGCTCTTAGGCATGACACTTGATTTCACAAGGTGTCAAAAACACCTTATATTTTTGGGATATTGTATGAAATAAGGTGAGAAAGTAGATTTTAGAATGATTTAAAGTCGCCTAAAGCATATTGGTTTTGCGAAGAATTAATTTTTATTTGATGGCTGAATTATAATATCATATAATAATTTATAATAATAATTAATATTGAAATCAGACCAAATAGAATTTGATATTGAATTTCTTCAGAAATATGTTTTTTTCCCATCAGATGTAACATTAGAAAATACTTTTATATTGTATTTGCATGTTAAGATAGATATTGTTTAATCACACAAAACTTAAAAAGACTATGGTCATAAAGTGTATAAGAAATGATAAGAATATTCACAATTAAGGCCACCCGACAATTAAGACCTCTTTTGTCCAGTCCTGATGGTGGTCTTAATTGAGGGTTTTTACTGTATACATAATGGTATCTGCCACATTCTCCTAATGTAATTGCGTGTCTGTAATAGTAATGTTTAAAAAAGTTCTTCCTTTCATCATTCAGCCAAGCGCATTCAAATATGTAATGAAATTCATCGCCTATCTCATTGTTACAAAAGGTACACATTCTTTAATTGATTGGGTTTGGGCCCAATTTCTGGTTTCTATTGGTAATGTATGGTTTCGTGCAAGAAATTCTATCGTAATGAAGAAAAGGCTTAGGAGTTGATGAAAGTTTTTTTTCCGAATTCAAATTCTTTTTTGAATATTCTGTAGAATGTAAGTGTAGAATGTACCTTTGCTACAATTTTCAATAGGGAAAACCAATCATTTAGAAAAAAAAATCTTTTAGTTTATGTCTTATTGCGAGTTTAAACCACTTCTCGTTTCCAAAATTTTGTGCATTCCATATATCAAATAAACCACATTTTATAAAAACAATTGTCTAAAGGTTTGCAATCTAAGGATTTTTTGTCATATTATTTTCACTTATTTTTTTTTGAAGGATAATATATAATATCGTATGATTTCATTTATAGACCTTTTTACGACGCGGTCCGTTGCTATGAAAAATTGACCGGAAGTAGTATTTTCTCGCGCATGCGCAATTTACGTAGGGCAAAAAAAGTATCGCCCTACATAGAAATGTAGTAGAAGTTTACAGGCA